TCACACACTGGACAGCAGTCTCTACAAGGGTCCACCTCGGCCAACCAACACTGAGGGGCTAACTTACACAGGCTGAATTCATACATGAATAAACCTCAATTATTGATGAAAGCACTGAGTGACTATTCACTCAAGACATAGACATAGACAATATATCTCTCAAGCCTTAGGTTTGCTTTGGTCAAATGATCATGAATGCATTGTTTATTTTTCAAGTTATCAATGAAAGATAACAAGTTATCTGGTATACATATATTAATATGGGGAGATTTCAGGAGAGGACACTTCATATACTGTACTTATGCACTGCATATACACTTGAAAACATATTCAACTCAATACAACCAATATCAAGATTTTGAATATCAATATTTAAAAAAAGCAAGCTCATGAAATCAATTCAAATGGAACCACCTTCTTTAGTAACTGAAGTGTTCAAGACATTTCTTTTACAATGTCTTATAAAAGAATTTATTACACCAAATGTCTATTTTCCAATTGACTTCAGGAAACAACTACTTTGGTATCATTTCTATCATGAGAGGGAGATATTCAATCCAAATAAACACTATTGAAAAAATTTCTCACCTTAAGGTAAATGAGAATAGGAGCGTAGGCAGCACCTTGTAATACGCCTATCTCCAAAGGCTCATGGTTTCCTCGTACTTTCACCAGTGATAACAGAATCACACCCCTTTGTGTAATGAGGGCCTGAGCACTGTGCCTCCCACACTGTTTCAATTAAGGTGTGGACACGCCATCGCTCCAAGTCATGTGATTTAACTTTAACATAACCATGTTAGGTTGATCGTTAGCTGTTCTCTACCCTTTTGTGTTACCTGAATGTTAAGACACAGTACTCTATCTGAGTTACTGATACCTTCACTCAACAAACACCAAGGGTTGACTGTTGGGGTCATTAGTGATACTATGGCAATAGTTGTACAACTATTATGCACAATTTCTATGGATGAAAACTTCTTTATTTAAAGTACTGTGATTTTTCAATGTCATCCATAAATACACCCCTATATATACTGCAAAGTAGGGATCTGTTTTAAGAAAGGGAATATCCTTTCAACTCCAGACTCTATTATTTTTCAGGAATGTAGTACTAGAGTTATTCACACATTCCCTGGAAGTTATACACAGACTGAGTCAAACACTATCTCCTCAATACACAATCTTGTCTCCATAAGCCTGCTGTTATGTATAATGGCTCATTCCACACTGGCTGAGGCATCTACATCTACTACAGTGCGGGGTGTCACACAGAATCAAGGTCGATACAGTGTGAGGTGTCTCACACCATCAAGGGCGATACACACAGCCTGGTTGTGATCCACAAGCCCAAGTCGCAGATCCCCATCTCGCTCAAAATCCATAGTGACGTACAGAAACCATGCTACCGGTAACTAATACTTGGCCTATCTGCACCCTACTCATTCCCCGACTTGACATACAGACACAACACTTGGTCTATCTCCTCCCCTCAATGACATACAGAAACAACACTTGGTCTATCTCCACCCCTCACTCCCTGCACGGACATACAGACACAACACTTGGTCTATCTCCTCCCCTCATTCCCCACACTGAGATACAGACACAACACTTGATCTATCTCCACCCCTCATTCCCCACACTGACATACAGACACAACACTTGGTCTATCTCCACCCCTCACTCCCTGCACAGACATACAGATACAACACTTGGTCTATGTCTTTCCCTCACTGACATACAGACACAACACTTGGTATATCTCTTCCCTCACTGACATACAGACACAACACTTGGTCTATCTCCACCCCTCATTCCCCACATTGACATACAGACACAACACTTGGTCTATCTCCTCCCCTCAATGACATACAGACACAACACTTGGTCTATCTCCACCCTTCATTCCCCACACTGACATACAGACACAACACTTGGTCTATCTCCTCCCCTCATTCCCCACACTGACATACAGACACAACACTTGGTCTATCTCCACCCCTCACTCCCTGCACGGACATACAGATACAACACTTGGTCTATCTCCACTCCTCATTCCCCACACTGACATACAGACACAACACTTGGTCTATCTCCTCCCCTCATTCCCCTCACAGACATACAGACACAACACTTGGTCCATCTCCGATCCCCATTCCCTGCACGGACATACAGACACAACACTTGGTCTATCTCCACCCCACACTCCCTGCACGGACATACAGACACAACACTTGGTCTATCTCCACTCCTCATTCCCCAAACTGACATACAGACACAACACTTGGTCTATCTCCACTCCTCATTCCCCACACTGACATACAGACACAACACTTGGTCTATCTCCACCCCTCACTCCCTGCACGGACATACAGATACAACACTTGGTCTATCTCCACTCCTCATTCCCCACACTGACATACAGACACAACACTTGGTCTATCTCTTTCCCTCACTGACATACAGACACAACACTTGGTATATCTCCTCCCCTCACAGACATACAGACACAACACTTGGTCTATCTCCACCCCTCATTCCCCACATTGACATACAGACACAACACTTGGTCTATCTCCTCCCCTCAATGACATACAGACACAACACTTGGTCTATCTCCACCCCTCATTCCCCACACTGACATACAGACACAACACTTGGTCTATCTCCACCCCTCATTCCCCTCACGGACATACAGACACAACACTTGGTCTATCTCCACCCCTCACTCCCTGCACGGACATACAGACACAACACTTGGTCTATCTCCACCCCTCATTCCCTGCACAGACATACAGACACAACACTTGGTCTATCTCCTCCCCAGATTGACATACAGACACAACACTTGGTCCATCTCCGATCCCCATTCCCTGCACGGACATACAGACACAACACTTGGTCTATCTCCACCCCACACTCCCTGCACGGACATACAGACACAACACTTGGTCTATCTCCACATCTGATTCCCCACACTGACATACAGACACAACACTTGGTCTATCTCCGATCCCCATTCCCTGCACGGACATACAGACACAACACTTGGTCTATCTCCACCCCTCATTCCCCTCACGGACATACAGACACAACACTTGGTCTATCTCCACTCCTCATTCCCCTCACGGACATACAGATACAACACTTGGTCTATCTCCGATCCCCATTCCCTGCACGGACATACAGACACAACACTTGGTCTATATCTACCCCTCATTCCCTGCATGGACATACAGACACAACACTTGGTCTATATCCACCCCTCATTCCCCTCACTGACATACAGACACAACACTTGGTCTATCTCCACCCCACACTCCCTGCACGGACATACAGATACAACACTTGGTCTATCTCCTCCCCTCATTCCCCTGACGGACATACAGACACACCACCTTGTCTATCTCCATCCCTCATTCCCTGCACAGACATACAGATACAACACTTGGTCTATCTCCTCCCCTCATTCCCCTGACGGACATACAGACACACCACCTTGTCTATCTCCATCCCTCATTCCCCTCACGGACATACAGATACAACACTTGGTCTATCTCTTTCCCTCACTGACATACAGACACAACACTTGGTCTATCTCCACCCCTTATTCCCTGCACGGACATACAGATACAACACTTGGTCTATCTCCTCCCCTCATTCCCCTCACGGACATACAGATACAACACTTGGTCTATCTCCTCCCCTCATTCCCCTCACAGACATATAGATACAACACTTGGTCTATGTCTTTCCCTCACTGACATACAGACACAACACTTGGTATATCTCCTCCCCTCACTGACATACAGACACAACACTTGGTCTATCTCCACCCCTTATTCCCTGTAAGGACATACAGATACAACACTTGGTCTATCTCTTTCCCTCACTGACATACAGACACAACACTTGGTCTATCTCCTCCCCTCATTGACAAACAGACACAACACTTGGTCTGTCTCCTCCCCTCATTCCCTGCACTGACATACAGACACAACACTTGGTCTATCTCCTCCCCACACCGACATAGACACAACACTTGGTCTATCTCCTCCCCACACTGACATACAGACACAACACTTGGTCTATCTCCTCCCCACACTGATATACAGACACAACACTTGGTCTATCTCCTCCCCACACTGACATACAGACACAACACTTTGTCTATCTCCTCCCCACACTGACATACAGACACAACACTTGGTCTATCTCCTCCCCACACTGACATACAGACAAAACACTTGGTCTATCTCCTCCCCACACTGACATACAGACAAAACACTTGGTCTATCTCCTCCCCTCATTCCCTGCACCAACATACAGACACAACACTTGGTCTATGTCCACCCCTCATTCCCCTCACGGACATACAGACACAACACTTGGTCTATCTCCACCCCTCATTCCCCTCACGGACATACAGACACAACACTTGGTCTATCTCCACTCCTCATTCCCCACACTGACATACAGACACAACACTTGGTCTATCTCCACCCCTCATTCCCCTCACGGACATACAGACACAACACTTGGTCTATCTCCACCCCTCATTCCCCTCACAGACATACAGACACAACACTTGGTCTATCTCCACTCCTCATTCCCCACACTGACATACAGACACAACACTTGGTCTATCTCCACCCCTCATTCCCCTCACTGACATACAGACACAACACTTGGTCTATCTCCACCCCTCATTCCCCTCACTGACATACAGACACAACACTTGGTCTATCTCCACCCCTCATTCCCCTCACTGACATACAGACACAACACTTGGTCTCCAGCCAGGTGTACACTCCCTGGAAGCTTCACAGACACAAGAACCAGGTTGCCTGCATACCTAACATTCCACTGTCAAAATCAATAATGCCTGTTAACCACAACAAATGTCACTGCCTGAAATGGACAATATGTGCACACTGTCAAAACAATATTCCAGTTACAGGCCATGGAGGATGAAGTACAACACAAAACAGACTTACATTTCTCAGTCGTCGATCTGCTACTTGTTTCAGTTGATCAGAGCTGCAAAGAGACAACAGAATAAAGCATAAATTAAACATAAAAGAATGCTTGCTTCACAGGTAAACACTCCTGAAAGAAAAAAACATTTGCTGTAAAAGTATGGAGGTGACAGGAGTACACAGTGTGAGACTTGAGTAAGCTACCTGTGGAGCGTGTATGGGACAGTATTGCGTGCCCCTTATGACGACAAGGTATGCATATAGAAAACCATAACCACACAACCACCTCACTATAAGGCCACACTCGGGACACGCACAGGGACAGCAGTTCCTGAATACTGGAAGCATATGTGGGGGCAATTACAACTAATTTTACATTGCCTTGTTTTGTCATTTCAAGTTGTAGCCTACAGAACAGGGAAGGTTACCTGTGTTTTTAGAACCTTATCTGGGGGGAGTTTTAGTGACAGGCAATGTGTAAGGTGACCTAGTTTTGCTTGTTGGACCAAACAAGGAGCAGAAAATGTGAAATGCTGAGGGTCAGCTGGGGGGTTTCGGGGGAGTTGGGGGAGTTGCAAGGTAAAGACTCACAATGGATGCAGTCCACATACAACATGCTACAGAGTGAACGGAAGTCTGGAAATAAATAAGCTCAACTGCTGTGATGCAAATCCAACCTGTAGAACCCATGCCCAGTATGAAATGTGGCAAAGATTATAGATATGCACCGCAGTGACCTGGTTGTGTGTATTTACTGAGTTTATCACACCACTTAGGAGCCATGTAGGAACACTGGGTCTGATGATGTGATACTTCAGATTGTTGACAACACTCAGTAATATCACTACCAAGCCAATATGCCACTAGTCAGGCTGTACAAGACAATAATAAACAGGACATTCTCACCTGCCCCCTGGCATCTTTATATAAGCCTAGGCAAACAGGTGGCATTTCACATCTTCACATTCACACTTCCATGTGTATTTATGACAAACACTGCCACATGAATATGTTTACTTACACTGTAATTATACTGAAAGCCTATCAGATTCGTGTTCTAGGAATATGAATTTTATTACAAAAGTACTCACAATAGGTTATGAATTCCTTATTTTGGCATGTAAGATAGACATCCAAATGAAGATTGTTAAACAAGTGAGATGAGTGCTGACTGTGGCAGTTCACAAAGTAACATAGGACATCAATAAATAACACAAGCTACACTTCATTTTATAAATTACAGAAACAATGACTCCAACAGTGCATCAGTCAGCAGCAGCAACTGCACTCACAGGGCCCAATTAAGGTGTAGCAATCAATAAGCAGCAGCACCTGCACTCACAGGGCCCAATTAGGGTGTAGCAATCAATAAGCAGCAGCAACTGCACTCACAGGGCCCAATTAAGGTGTAGCAATCAATCAGCAGCAGCACCTGCACTCACAGGGCCCAATTAAGTTGTAGCCATCAATCGGCAACATTTGCATTCAAAGGGCCCAATTAAGGTGTAGCAATCAATAAGCAGCAGCACCTGCACTCACAGGGCCCAATTAAGGTGTAGCAATCAATAAGCAGCAGCACCTGCACTCACAGGGCCCAATTAAGGTGTAGCAATCAATAAGCAGCAGCACCTGCACTCACAGGGCCAAATTAAAGTGTAGCAATCAATAAGCAGCAGCATGGGCACTCACAGGGCCCATTTACGGCGTACCAATCAATCCAGCTGATCCATAATTACACAAATTCACTTCATGGAATATTCATGGTACAAGTTGTTTGGTGCAGGGTCCCAGACAGTGGTAGCGGAGAACTGCATACCTGACATACCGATGTCCATTTAGCCTTGTTCTTGCTGTGTTCAATAGTATTGATTTCAAATAAAGCCAGAAAGGCACATGACAGGCCAGTTAAAAGGGACTATGCAGTATTTATACAGTCAAACTGACAGGCTCAACTCCTGTGTACTGTTGTCATACTGTGCAATAAACATGAGTGTGTGTGATAAGAGCAGCCAATATATACTGCCCAAAAGTCTGCAAGGGAGCCACATCAATATTCATCAAAGGTGAAGTGCTCTTTCAGTGTCTACATTTAAAGAGAGATATATTGCATTTTAAGATTTTATCAATATCATATTCTGACAGTTCAATAAGCATAAAAGACATCTCACTGAAAGTCAAGAATTAAAAAGGAATAACTGATGTATGTTCATGAGTAAATGGGAATAACTGATGTATGTTCATAAGTTAATAGGAATAACTGATGTATGTTCAAGATTAAATAGGAATAGCTGATTATGTTCATGAGTAAATAGGAATAACTGATGCATGTTCATGATGAGGAAATAGGAATAGCTGATGTATGTTCATGGGTAAATAGGAATAACTGATGTATGTTCAGGATGAGGAAATAGGAATAACTGATGCATGTTCAAGATTAAATGGGAATAGCTGATGTATGTTCATAAATGAAATAGGAATAACTGATGCATGTTCAAGATTAAATGGGAATAGCTGATGTATGTTCATGATGAGTAAATAGGAATAGCTGATGTATGTTCATGAGTAAATAGGAATAACTGATGCATGTTCAAGATTAAATGGGAATAGCTGATATATGTTCAGGATGAGGAAATAGGAATAGCTGATGTATGTTCATGAATCAATTAGGAATAACTAATGTATGTTTATGATGAGGAAATTTAATAAGCAAATATAATTCGTATGAGGTTCAAAAGGTTCCACACAATAAAAAAAATAAATTTAAATACTGATAACATTTCAATTTGACAAATGGTTTGAATCAGAAGTCAGACTTTTGACCACTAGAAATGCAAAGCAAGGCACCATACGTGTCAAAATTTCATAATTAAACAGTAAATATTAAGGATTAGCCCTACTTACAGTATCAACCCTATAAAACAATGCAGAGCCATTAAAAAAATGCAATTGAAAAACTGAGCAGTGTCTTTGCATCATACTTTCTGTATCCAGGGAAATGCTGTCATTAGCCATGTTGACTTAGCCAAGTGCTTTTCTTACTTTCATTGGCCAGATCAGTTATATTCATCCAAGCACAAACGGTATTACATTGATTTATTGTTATGGTTCATCTGTCTTTTTATTTTTATTTGTGAGCACATGTGGCCAAGGCCGCAGAAGAAACGGACACACAGGGCTCTGTCATCAGGGTTAAAGTTGAAGGTAAAAAACTGGAAGAGGTAAATTTTTCCATGGGTACAGGACTGGGGTAAAAGAAAGACTCTTGTTCAATGAAGGTATATGGAAATGAAGGTATATTGGCTATTGTAAACTGATTAAAGGCTGTCCAAACAGAGTTTGGTGGTTTGTTTATTTGACCTATTGACTTTTGCCATTGACGCATTACATTTCTTGGGTCCAAGTCATTGACTTATTTATTCAGCTTTTGTGTCAAAATCACTGTTATCAAGAACTATTTCACATGAAATAATGCATAGAAACAGTAGCTCAATGCAACTTTGAAGTCAAAGTCAGGAAATCAAGGGGCTTTTGGCATAATAGTATGACTAAACAGTCAACCAAGAGAATGTCAAACCCATGTCAAGAAGAGCTTCTTATTCCTTGTCATTACCCCCAATCGTTACAGTGGCACTATGGCCTCAGACTATCAGCAGTTTATAGGTACACGGTCTAAAGAGCCCTGTGAAACGTTGTACAATGTTCCATAATACAATAACTAGAGTTTGGTTGATTTAACAAATGTCTGGGGGTAAATCATTCAAACCTTGATGTCTGTTTGTTGAGACAGTTTGGGGGTAAGTAGGGATGGGATCATATATCACAATATTGATGTATCAGTGATTTTTGTATGTCAATACCATCATAATCCACACAATTTTCTGAATATCGATACTACATTAATATCATTCAATGCCACAGAAAAGTTCACATTTGATAATATTATCTAATCAGAAACTTGTCAAAATCAGCCAAGTTCATAACTAGCATAACTGTGAACAAAACACAGTGTTTCCAACTAGCAGACACTACCAGGGAACGAACACAGTGTTTCCAACAAGCAGACACTACTAGGGAACTAACACAGTGTTTCCAACAAGAAGAGTGAGTGAGTGAGTGAGTGAGTGAGTGAGTGAGATTTTACGCCACTTTTAGCAATATTCCAGCAATAGCATGGCTGGGGACACCAGAAATGGCCAACAAGAAGACACAGTGTTTCCAACTAGCAAACACTACAAGGGAACTAACACAGTGTTACCATCTAGCAGACACCACCAGGGAACGAACACAGTGTTTCCATCTAGCAGACACTACCAGGGAACTAACACAGTGTTTCCATCTAGCAAACACTACCAGGGAACTACCAGTCGTGGCTAACGACTTTCATTGGTTGACATACAATGAGGATTTGCAGATTTTATTGTTTTCAATAGCTAGTCGTATATTGAATCTTGATTGACCGCCATTTTGCTTTCTGTGACGATCGACATCAAATTTTTTAATGGTCAATAATAAGTACAGATGAAAAAAATATTCAAATAACTATTGCTATCAAGGATATTTTATTATTTGTGATTATATTATCTGTCTTGTTTTTAATTAATCTTTAGTTTAAAAAAACCCTTTTTCCCGTGAGGTCACGTGATAACCAAACATGGGATAATAGTCTCGATCCAAATGTTACAACGTGTACACTTGAGCAGATATAACTCATGAATATTAATTAGACCGTTCACTACGTTAACAGATCGTTATTATAACAGAAACAAACGTATGTTTTCCATGTATATCTAAAATGATATTATTTGTTATTAATTGTCCGGTGAATTAAACAATTTGGATTGAAATAATTCATCATATTATGAATACGTAACAACTTGTAATGCGTGTGAAAAGTTGTACTAAAATACGCTATTTGTAGGGGGCGTGTCCTAAATGCAAATGTCCGATTGGGATTTTAAATTTTCCGGACCCCTGGAACTAACGCAGTGTTTCCATCAAGCAGACACTACCCGGGAACTAACACAGTGTTTCCAACTAGCAGACACTACCCAGGAACTAACA